CCCCCCCCCCCCCGGTGAAACTGAGAACGATAACCCCCCCGCGTGTTAGGTTCGAGGGTGGATAGGTAGAGGTAGGGTTGGCTCACCATGTGGCATGGACCTGTACAATTGGTGTAGTGTTCAATCCTGTGTGAGCTTGTCGGATTCGGTCCTAGATGTAGGATATCGGCCCAACACTGGATGGTTGTTTAGAAATTGCTTACGAACTACTCCGTCTGCAACTCTTTCACCTGCAAAATAAGAAGATTTTTTTCGAAGTGTTTCACTCATGAAGCGACGTGTTCGAAGTGTGTGACGCGCGCCTGTTATTGTACGAGCGCGCGAAGATCGGAACCCCTTGCGGTACTTTGAATTATTCTCGTGCCTGTCGAACGTGACACGATTGGTTGGCCGGGATTCCCAATTGGCCGATGGCATTAGCATCTGGTTTGGCACAGAAACCGCAAGGATGATGACCCGCATCTATTTCATCTTTGCGAAAGTTTGCCTGATGGGCCGGCGAGAACCCGGCATGTCGCTCCGTCCCGGCGTTGTAGGGATGCGAGGTCCATGATCTAAATGATCCAACGACAACGGCATGCGCTTAGATGAGTACCCCCCCCCTTCTGTAAGCTGCTGAACGATTGGATAGTGGGAGTATTGGAGAAGGAACATAGCATTAGTGAGGGCCAGGCAGGTTTCCGAAAGAACAGGGGGTGTGTAGTCCACGCATTCACGGTAGGGAGAATCATCCAAGGTAGAAAGAGGGCGGGAAAGCCGACGTACTGCTTCTTCCTGGACGTGAAAAAGGCATACGACACCGTGTGGAGAAATGGGTTGTGGAAACAACTGTCCAAATACGGGATCAAGCGATGTAGAGAGTGCTAAAGAAGATGATGACAAGAGTGTACGAAAAGCGCGGTCATTCTAGACGGAGAACTGTCTAAATTCTTCGACATTGAGCAGGGGGTCCCACAAGGTTGCACGCTGTCCCCAACATTGTTCCAGGTGTTCATCAACGATCTGTTGGAAGTCGTAGAGGCAGTCCGGAAGGGAGTAAAAGTAGGGGACACGGAAACGTCGGTTTCAGGAATGCTGTTTGCGGATGATTTTGTCGGTATGTCGGACACCCCTGAGGGACTGCAACTGCAAATTGACGCGGCGAAGAAGTTTACTGATAAGTGGAGATTGTTCGCCAACGTTAAGGAGAGGGCCGTCATGGTATGCAACGAGAACAAGGAGGAACCAGTAGAACATAGATGGAAGTGGGGGATCGAGGAGATTGCAGTAGTGGACCAGTACACATACCTCGGAGTAGAGATCGCAAAAGACTGCTCGTGGAATGCACACATGTCCAAGGTAGCGGAAAAGGGCAAAGCACGAGCAGGGAAGCTGCATCCAATACTCGCAAACCGGCACCTCGATACACGCATCAAATTGACGGTTTTGAAGAGCGTAATCGTACCGCCGCTAGAGTACGCCGGAGAAGTATGGGAAGGAAATAAGAAGGTAGTGAAAGAACTCGAGGCGGCGCAGATGAAAGCAGCGAAAACCATCCTAGGATGCTCCAGGCGCACAAGTAATGCAGCCGTGAGGGCAGAATTGGGGATCCAATCCCTACGGTCGGGAAGAGACGCGAGGAAGCTGACCTGGCAGTATAGCATGTGCGGGATGGGAGAGGAGAGGGTGCCGAGGATTGTATGGGAGGCGAAGTGGGCAAACAAAAAGAGGAGTAGACAACCCACGGAATGGGTCAAGGTTGTAGAGGACGTATGGAAGGGGCTCGACATCGATGAAGATAAAACGCTGGAAACGGAGGGGTTCGAGGAGAAGATATGTGTTGCTTGTGCCGAGAGAGAACATAATCTAAAGAAAGAAACCAAGGATAAGGAGGGTCTGGAAGTGCAGGAATGTTGAAGGAAGGAATAGGGTTCAAGGATTACCTACATGGACAAATGGATGCAGGAACAAAGCTTAAGATGAAATTCAGGACCGGGGACATGGGCCTGCGAGAACGTCGACGAAGACATAGGACGGTAGACGACGAAGACAACGAGTTCAAATGTGATTGCGGCTTCGAATGCGAAGACCGT